CACAAAGTATTCAACTCTTACAGTTTTATACTAACAGCCCATGCTACACAAAGCCTCTTTTAGTATTCCCCTGAGATGCATTGTAACCGTAACCTGTGTAATGTAAAGAAATCCTCAATGGTATATCACACTTAATCCTATTGTAGTTGCAGAGCTTTGTGTGGTTGCTTGCTGGAGGAATGAGCGCTGGCTAAATTTGAGGGAAAAGGGGGTTTCCTCATCAAATTTACATATCACAATTCCACCCTCATTCCATCCATCCTTTCTGCTCTCTCGGGCGCCAAGCCCATGTAGCGGCATAGTTGGGGACATGGGACCTTTGTATTCCCAGTGTGCAGACAGAACACAGGCAGGAAAGAAACAAATAAATAAGTAAATAAAGAGAGATGAGAAGGTGTCCCTCGAGAGGAGGGGCGAGTGATACTAATACACGAGGAAACAGACCGATTTGCACAATGCCTCATCCTGGAAATAAGGGACAGTGCATTTCCCTCAATGATTCAGTGGATGGACCTGAGATTGGAGGAGAGGATTGGGCCAGCAGGGAGAGGTGGGAGAGTAGGTATAATGTTGGTGTATTCTGGGGGCAATCTGAAAAGGAGCTCTAAGGCTGCTTAACTACAATCTGCGACATCACCAACAACAATCTCCACTGGATTTATCTGAGCTTTAACGGTTTTGTGTCAGCAGAACCACATGCAAAAAAAATACTTTGCGTTTGCTTTTTAATCAAAGGCAGTGCACCACGTGTGACAGGCATGTTTTAATTGAAACAACTCAAAGAAATGTCTGTTTTGCAGTTTGTCGTCAAAACAGAAAGAAATAAAGCTTGTGTGGCCATCACATGATTTTATAACATTTAGTGTGATTGTGAAACCACGTTAGGGAAAACAAGCTAAAAGGTCAAATCCTCAAGACACAAAAACTAAAAACTATGAACTGCGATCTACTCAAGTCAACTCAAGTCTCAAACGGTGACCTGCTCAACTACAGGGGCTGCAGTTCCCTTAATCATTTAGAGAGAAAGACATGTTACTGAATCGACGGGTGAATGGAGGGGGACGCACATCTTTTGACATCTTTCTGAAAGATGAAAAAAAAAAGAAAATGCCAGAGAGCGAGGAAAGAGAGAGGGGAAGAGTGACTAAAAGAGCAGCATCCTGAGGCCCTGGAGGGGGCTGCAACCGACCAGGTCAGCATTTCACATGTGTCACTTCCTGTTGGCCTCAGCAGGAGGAGCGTGGCATGGCATGGTGGCCAGCGGGGGCACGGGGCCTGTCAGACTGACACAGGAGGTTGTACCGGGCAAAAAATCAAATGCATGCTCACATGCATCAACACACACACACACACTACTTTTCTTTGCCAAACAAATGTAATTCAGGTTAAATGTAGAGTGAGAATGACACAGAAAGGGGTCTGAAATACAAACGCATCCTTATGAACACAGTTGTGCAGGAGACTTTTCTCTTCTAGTAGAAATGTGGGACTCAAGAACTTTGCTCCCTCATACGACTGTATGTAGGCCATGACGCACAAACATGTGACATTCTCATTATAAATCATCGGCTATTAGCAGGAAAAGCCAGAGTGACTTGGAAAGAGTGTGTATCAGGAAGGCTTGGGAGCACAATGGTCTGTACCAACAGTTTTTTTCCATCTATCTTTCAAGGCCTCTTCTACCTTTGCTTTGTGAAACTCCACCTGAAATAGAAACCTGCACGGGAAAGAACATTGTAACAGAGTGTATTCTTTGTCTGATTTTCATATGTAGCAGAGGAACTGTCTGTCTGCCTGTTTGAGTGACCACTGTTTATCGGCTCTCAGTCCGCCTGTCTCACTCTGTCTCACTGGCCTGTGTTAATGCTGCTGTTTGACATTGCAAGCAGCAGGCTTTTTTCTCCCAGCAGCCTCAGTGGACACTGAGCTTTAGCCTAATTGGTTCCAGAGCAGACCCTGACAGAACTCTCCACAGCGGCACACAGCCATATTAATACCCCCCTGCCACACACACACACACACACACACGCAAAAACAAGCACAGCAATCAGTGACTAGCTCACTAATTAATGCCTTTACAAAGAATCTCATTAGCATGTGTTGTAGAGAGGGGCAGTAGGGGAAATGAGCATTTTGGATTTTTTTCTTTTGAAAAGGAAAAAATTAAACCATGGAAAAACATGGCGCATGCACGTGTGTGTGTGTGTGTGTGTGTGTGAGAGAGTGAGTGTGTTCTATTCCACTCAGGGGCCAAGGGCCTTGCTTGAACCACCAAGCAACGGGCTATATCTCATGGGAGACCATTACAGTTCTCTGAGGGAGACGTCAGAGTCAAAGATAAGCAGAATTTTAAAGGCAATCAGGAAAAATAAATCTCTGGCACGCAGGCAGCTCTTTGGTTGTTAACCAGCAACTTAACCTGCCTGTTCTGTGAGCGGAATAGGAGATAGATAGGTAAGGAGTGGGGGTGTGGAGATGACGTGTAGTTAAAGTGCAGGGCAGAGGCCAAGAACTGCAGGGCTTTAAGATTTGCCCAGCATAGCTCCCTGAAGAACTTCACAGGACAATGTAAGGATGCAAAATTTACAATAACCCCGGAAATTATAAGTGCATTAATCAAAGTGCTCTATTTGGAGTCTTTTTGAAGTATAGCGTTTCACTTTCTCTATCTGTTTTTCCAACTCCTTCTGCTCTCCCTCCGTCTCTCTGAGCACCCATCTGCTGCTTAATCCCCTACTGGTTTTACTGTGGCTTCATCACAGCCTGTAAAAACTGCCACCTTTGAACCCTATAAAGGCAACCAGCAGGTTTATTGTAAAACACAATCATAAGGTAAATGTTTATCCCCTCTCTGCCACTTTAAACTCCCCTAATGAGTCCGCTGGAGGGGCTTCACCTCACAGCTCGAATAGAAGCAGGGAAACAACACATTCTGTTCGGCTTAGACCTACAGCCGAGATGCAGCTAAAGCCCCATCATGAAAACAGTGCACAGCAATAAACTAATTTAATGATAAACAGTCAGGTAATACAAACCCTTAAGTGCCAAACAAGCTATATAATGTCAAGTATTAATGAACAGTTAAAATGTGCTAAATATAGAAACAAATATTTTCATACTAGTGAGTTAGTACAGGGAACAGTTCTTCCAGGAATATTGTGTGAAGAATATCATTGTTTATATTGAAGCGATTCCTGGCAAACCACTATACAATTGCCTGGGAAGGATAAACCCTCTGACCTTGCTCTTCCTAACAGCCAGTGGTTGTTCTGACCTGCCCATTATCCATCTGTGACCCCCTTATTATACCCACTGTCAGTACATGGCGCTACGCTGAACCGCACCGCCCTGCACTGCGGATGAGCCATCACTCTCTCCTCTGAACAGCAGCGCTAGCCCACACAGCCACAGACGCAAAGAGAGAGAGTTAGAGAAATAGAGAGTTCAGAGTAATAGTAAGCAGGTAGTTAGAGGTCAGGGGTCCTGTGCAATCGGGACAGCAGTTCCACTCCTGGCAGCCAGAGCGGAACTCTGAGAGGGACCTGGAAGTAGATATGATGACCTTTTGTACAGAGGACCCCAAAATATACCCTCTTATCAAAATGACCTTAACGTAGGAGCATGGGAAGGCGAGCAGAGCCCATCCATCATCTTAAAGATTAATCCTCCTCTCTATTCTTCTCCAGAATCTATTAATAATGTCGCCAGAGGGGAGAATTTGCAGCAAAGATTTATTCTGATATTGTGACTTTTATTCATTAGCCTATAACAGGGGGATTCCTTGAGAAGGAAATATGGAGTGAGCTTAGGCAATGCTAATTCCCTACTTGTGCTCTATTTGAACTATACAGAACTCTATTAACTAAGCCTCTATTAAATTTGCTGACTATCTGCATGCCCCGTGCCACTGTATCCCACAAATATGAGAGATTATCATTTACACTCCAGAGGTCACGAATCATTTACTCTTCGGAAACTATTCTAAGAAGCTTCCATTTGTTAATTAACAAACATTTAATAACAGCGTGGAAAATTCTGTGGCAGGTGCGAAGCCTGAAAATCAATTTGGCAACGAAATCTGGTACTCGGGTCCGAGCTTTTCCTCACTCGTTTAGACAAAGCAGCTACATTAATAGATCTGTACACTGGATTTCACACTGTGGAGCAGCACTGACAGCCCCAGGGGCGTACTTCAATTAGAGACTTGGGTGAGTTGAAACACTGCAGATATACTCTCGCTCAAAGGCGTTTGTCTCTCTCTCTCTCCCTCCCTCTTTTCCTCCCTCTCAGCCTCTCTCTCTCCATATCTGCGCTGAGCACTCACTCTCCTTCTTCTTCAAGTCCTGCTCTCTGTAATCAACCCAGTGCTAATGGCTTATTCTTTCTGCTCCAGCACCCACATTTCACTTGTTTATTTTCCCACACTCGTAAATCTGGGGACGCGTCACAAGCGCAGTGATATTAGAGCAATAATCTCAGGTAATTATCAGATGCCCTCGTGCACTTTTTTCTCCGTCTCCCTCCCTTTCTTTTAAACTCTTACACTGAAGTTCCTTCACCTTTCCAGAGAAGTGTGCAGGCAGGTTTTGAGAACCTTAACATAAAGACTTGTTAAAATTGTATTAAAAGGGGAGAGGTGAATATGGAGATCATAGAAAAACATTGATCATTTATTCTTTGGTAATGACACACAGGATGTGTTATTTCTAAAGCACGCAAACTGTAATATGCCAGGGGTCTAAAATAATCCTTTCTGTAGGAAAAAGGTGAGGTAATGCTGTTTCTCTTAGCCCCGTAAAGTCAGAAAGATATTCTTTCATTTGAGGTAATAAAGGCTGAATAATATAATAAAATAGCTGGCACTGCAGTTTTCAGCAAACACAATTAAAAGAGAACTTTTTGGACAATGCGCGCCTGTGCACACTTAATAGTGAGAGGAATTCATTGTTTTTTTTGTAAATCTTTCCTGATTTCCTGATGTTTTTTCACATTTCACTTACCCACTCCTGCTGTATGAGGCTACAGGCCTTGATGGCCCGGGACAGGTTCCGACAAGCCAGAATCACATGGGCACCGTGAAGAGCTAAGGACCTGGCCGTCTCAAAGCCTGCGACATGTGGAGGGAGACAGAGAGACACAAAGACATCAAAAAGACAAAATAAGCGAGCAATGCTTCAAAGATGAGTTTTTCTGAAGATAACTTGGATTCTCAGGGGTTGAATCTAATGGGGTGGTGATGCTGATGGTGGGGGTTGGGGGGTGGAAGTTAAAATCCCTATCAATTTTCCATATAATTTCTTTCATTGAGTAACCCAGTGGTCGAGGAGATGGAGTTAATAATTTCTCTCTGAAGTGATGAAACTGATGGAATTATTGTGGTTCAAGACTTCTTTCCTCTCGTCTTAGATAAAGTTTTGTATTTGACTGCCGGCTCTGGAGAAGGTATTCCTGCTCACACTGGGGCTACAGGAAGGGAGGTCGGTTGTTAATTATGTTGTTAATTATACAGTGATGGCAGTAATTATGAAAACATGGCTCATAATAGAGGGGTGTCAAACGAACAATCGAACAGACATGACATTCAGACTGAACCTCGGTGTGATATTTCGGAACATCAAAGGGCCTCCGATAAGGACATTTCTCCCATGAAACGAGGTCCGCAGATACGCCCAGAATTTATCAGTCCAAGACGACTTCATGGCTCTATCCAAATCATGTAGTCACGATAAAACTGACAAAAACTGAAGATAGAGGGAGAGAAGTTCATTTCTAAATTACAAGTCTAAATGGGTCATTTCAACCCGTAGGTTGAATTAATTTATGAGATTAACTTTTTTCCCTTCACCGTATTTTTATTTCCTTTGACATTTACTATCCTTCAAAGTGTCGTGGAAAAGTTCAACAGCATCACATTTTTCAGCCTCACAGTAAATACATACCACAGTCATATAGACACATTCACAGTGTGAGTGGCCCGACTGACAAACCGACGGCCACAATAACTGATCTGCGGCTCAGAGGGTCTGAGAGGCAGAGTGTATCAGAGGGTGGATTAATATGAACTGTAATTAGATTATATGTCTTAATCTGATTTTCATTAAGAGCAAAACTGGGAGGCCTAATTGTGAGGAGAGTGCTAAGGACTAATATCTATTAAAACTCAAAATTGGAGTAGGATTGGAAGCCCTTTCTGACAAGTGAAGCATGGAATTAAATTATATGACACCTTATTAGGTGTAATGGAGGGGACTGTGGCTGTGAGCAGAGATTATTTCACTCAGAGGAAATGGAAATGAAAATAAAAACAACATGACACAAAAATCGAGCAGTGAGACTCCCAGAGTAAATATGCACTTTGAATCTGCAGGTGGAGCAGCGGGCTTTAAGAAACCAAAATCTCCTCTACATCATTCAAAAATATTTTTTTAATTAATAATAAAAAATATCTACCTCTGAAATCCATTTGCATACAATTAAAAAAAAAGGTTTAAAATTCCAAACGGGCCAATTTTAAAACATTTTCTTCAGCGTTCTGTGATGTAGAGGACTGCTGGATGGTGGTAAACAACAACACCTCACTCTCACTTGTTGTGTGTACAAACCATGAAAGTGAAATTAATCAACACCAGTGTTTTCCATAATGGAGAACAAATTAGAATATGGCAGCAACAACAGCAGCAGCAGCACCGCAGCCATGTATTTCGATGAAAAATAACAAGGGCTTGACATTAATTGTGAAATAACGAGAGTGGTATTGCTGTAACAGAGACTCCCCGCCCTCTCACCCGTGTTGCCGGCAGAGAGGGCCGCACTGAAATTAGTTCCTGGTCAGGTGTACAACAAAAAGAGCCTGTTTCTGCATTGTACACTGATGGCGGAACATGACGAGGGGTCAGAGGGAGGTTTTTATTGCTCTGGTAGATCGACAGACGCCATAAGCTATTGAATAATCGTCAGAGCTATTTTGTCTATCGGAAAATAACATAATAAAGATGGAGATGTGGGAGGAAGAGTCTTATTTTGGTGAAACCTTTGTTAAAAAAAGAGATGAGGATCACACAGTTTAACCAAGTTAAAGTTGATCTTTTGACTGTGTGCTTGTTCAAACTTGAGCTTCGCAACATAACAAAAATACAGTAAATGACTCGGGTATTGTTGAAAATGTGCTTTACTGTGTATTTAGAAATGTGTAAAATGTATTAGAAAAATGTGTAAAATGTCCATTAAGCAGTGAATGCGCTTCATGGTACATTAGGATCCTGGCCCTACTGATATCCCCCAATAATGAGTGTGATTTAGTGATTTCACGCTTTGTTTGTCCTCCCTGGCCCGCCGCCCCTCTCTGGATCCCCCTCGTACACAGGTGTATTGGCTCAGTGTAATGAGATCATTACCAGCTTCGTCAGTAAACGTGTTTATTTGGCAAACGGAGCTGCTCGCTCTTTCTCTCTCTTGATCTGCATCCAAAGAGGCATTTAACTAAAATAAGCTCTGCAGTACAATTGGGCAAACAGAAGTCAATTCAGATCATTACAAGACCTGTGGGTAAACATGTCGAGTTCCCACAATCCCCCTTCTCACCAGAGCTGAATATGTGGCTGAAACAACACAAACGTAACACAGACCCTGAACAGACCACACATCACCCAAAGTCATGAATAGATATGTGACTCGTTATAACACTGTTTGATTCTGTGTATCTCTTCCTAGTTTAATGTGGTGACGTCCATTTGATTGATTCATAAAGATTCTTGGGCCTTTGAGTTGGTTAAGTTATAAATGAGGAGATTTATTAAGTGATGTGGGTCACGAGCAAACTGTATCTGTCCCTCTCCATCTGATTATGGGAAATTAACAATGGGAATGACTACATGTGCTACAGAGGTCCCTTAGCTGAACTTGACCTCACTTTACCACCAAGATATGAAAAGTACAGCCGCGTGATGCCGATGATTATGACGAGGTGTCCACAAAAGGCTACAACTTATTTTACCACAGATTCATCTTCAGATCATTCTCTTAATCATAACTTTCATCCAATTAGGTTATTTTTTCACCTGCATTTGTTTGTTTGTTGATTACAAAAAACGATTTCCATGAAATTTTGTGGAGTGGTGGAGCGTGACCCAAGAAAACATTGTGAGTTGGGGGTGTCTTTCAAATTTTTTGTTTATTTAAAAAGAAACATTTATGGATCTTGATGAAAAAAGTCAGGCATGTTTCGGGGCCTGATAATTATTGAAGTGAATTTAAAGGTGGTTTGGTTTGGTTCAGTAACGTGTTTAACAAATTGTCAGAAATGTTTATTTTCTTAGATTTTGAGCGACCGCCCAAAAATCTCAATATGTTCAGTTCAAATTATATATATATATATATATTATATCACAAGCAAATCGTCACATTCGAGAAACTGAAACAAGTGAATCGGTCAATAAATGGATCTTTTCAGCTCTGCTTGAGATATCAATTTACTGCTCAATATAGAGTAAACTACTGAGTGTCTTTTACTGGATATAGAAAGTAGTAAATAAGTGAGCGATAGAGTGATTTCAGACACAGTCTAACTCTCAATGATGAGTGCACCTGTTCCTACTGCTGCTGTCCCAAGAAGTGAGGAGCATTTCAACCCAACCCAAACCCCCCACCCCATACACACACTTTGTGACTTTTAAGATCCCCTCTAATTCCCCTCCATTAGTCCGAAGGGAGGGAGATGTCACCCCAAAAGTGGGATGTATGGTTAGTAATTACAGCCCAAGGTTGAGCTGTTCCAGGTGAGAGCACTGGAGTGGTTCTATTACCCCTCCCTGTCCCCTTCTGCCTCCTTCCTAACCCCCCCACTGCTGTCTCACCATCCATGCAGCACCTAGTACTCACCCACCCACCCCCCTTCTCTTCCGCTGACCCTCTGTGTCAACCTCCAACTCCCTACACAATCTCCCATCATGGCCTCGCACCACACTGGTCACCCAACTCCTCCTGAATCACACACAAACACATGCAAACACACACACACAAACCAGTAAACCTGATAAACACACATCACACACACGCACATGGATAAACACAGTCACCAGAAGCCTGCTCGTGCACACATACTGCATCTGAATGTTAGGGCTATTTTCATCCATGTCATCAAAATCCCGCCATCATGTAACTTTCATCCCCTCATCATCTGCAGACTGTAAACTCGATAGGTCTATAAACTACTTGACTTCACACAATAACCCAATACGCTTTCATTTTATTTTACCTACAGCCTTTAAGCACATATATGTATTCCATCCTTTCTCTCTAACCACTTCAGTTCTATTATATTAGAGCTGTAATCATTATTGAACCCTTCTGGCCTCCAGCATAATACTCTTTGCATGTTACACCAGTTTGGGTCGGCATAGCAAATTTCACCCAAGGTTAATAAAGTTGAATAATTTGACTAACCAACCATAACTGGTTCTCATTATGTAGCCAATAAACACATTCATCAGAGAGGACATGAAAAGCCTGTTGAAAAATAGAAAAAAGAAAACTCTCCTTCGATTTTCTCGGTTGCTAAGTTCAGAAGCTAACACAGACGAGCCAGGACCTGGGCCGGCCGCTCCTCTTAGCACACACACACACATACAGACACACACACAAATGGTATCAGACCTCTGAATATAAACACAGATGTGTCACAGATGTCATCTAAACCACACGCAGCCACTCAGAGCTGCTCAGTGACACACACACACCGAGACACAAGCACCGCATGCCACCCTCACCAGGAACATCTTTTTATCCATCTAATTCCTCCCACTATGAATAATGCATATCCCTCCTTACTGAGGCTCGGGTTTAACGCATCGCTGCGCGGGTCTTTAAGGGGGTCCTTATTCATAAACAGCAGTGCAGTAAATACCAGAGCTTTGCAGCCAATTTAATGGCAGTTATGCTTAACAAATCTGCCTCAATCTAATGATCAGCCACAAAGCTAGGCTATGGGTTTAATCTGCACACAGAGGCTCCCCCAGCTCTGCGACTCACTGAATATGCTTAGGGATCTCTCCATCCAGAGAGAGGAGAGCACCGGCCTGACACTTAATCCTCCCAACACAACACCGGGATCAACACAAACATAGAACAATGTTAGTCTTTCATGAATAAGAATAACATTCAAAGTCCTAAAACACTGTGGAGACAATGCATAAAGATACTAAAACATTACGAAGCGCTCCTCTCCAAATCCTTGCTATTTCCCATCTGGGCCGCCTGAGTCTTTTCTGCTTCTTATTCCAGCATTGACCCTGTATATACCATGTGGAATTCAGTGCATGCATTTAGAGTAAGTATAGAGCTTTGCAACTGTGGCTGCTGATCTACGACCAAGTACAGAAAGTGACGTTCCGACCAATGATACTCAGTAGACATGAGTCAGACCACAACTATCTTCGAACTAGGCCTTCATTTTGACTTTTAAAGTCTTGACCTTATTATGTTAGGATTTGGCACTTAAAATTTAACTGAATAAAAAACCTTGTATTTTAGTTCATTCATCTTTTTGTCATGTATTTTTGTGAAGCACTTTGCAACCTCGTTTAGATAAGTGCTATACAAAGTTATTATTATTACTGCAGTCCTGGATAGTTGAGACTGCATTTTGTGCAGGTTTGTGAAGCACAGTGACAAAATCTGTCCTCAGACAGAGGGACATATAGACACCTGACAAAGTACCCAAAACCGTCCCCTCTCACTACAGTTTGTATCTTCAGGATTATATTTGCCATAATGACACACACACACGATGAAAACAACACCATTCACAATGATGTGGCTGGTAAACATGTCAACATAAAAAAGAATAAACATTGAATATATAGAATAATATTAATAAAATTTAAAAGGTTGACTGATGCCTTGAGTTACTACATGCATCACCCTACCATATTTCTGGACTGAGTAGAAATAGAAAACAAACAGACAGCAACAAAAGTAAAATCACCTCTAAACATGTGTCATATGTCAGACATACAGTGCTGGGATTAAAATAGCTCATGGAAGACAGCTGGATGCACTTACCTGAGTGAGACAGAGGGTCAATATATTATTTCTGACCACTATTAAACGTATGTTGTGCTGACAACGAGGCACCTGCTGGAAGAGCCTGACACTGGTCCCCAGATAGAGGGACACATATATGTTGTGTACAGAAGCCCAAAGGAGCCGTCATAGGGCAAAGGTGAAGGTCTGTGTTCAGAGAATACAAATATAGTCTTGCCTCGACGAAAAAAATATTTTAGGAAAGAGCTTACACTAAAGCTTTAGGACTACTGTGGAAAAAAAATAGCAAACAAAAATGTGAGGTTTTGATTCCTAAAAATATTTGAGGTATTTTGTGTGTGGGAGAAGTCAGGGCCAGAGATATCAAGATAATGGCCCTTTAAGGACAACTGTTCCATGGACCCCTGGCCAGTAAATAACCTGAGAGTTAGTTGAAAGCAGGGGAATTAGGGCCTGAACAGGAGTGTGTAATGGGGATGGATAGGAGGCTCAGGCCTGGGTCACAGCCACTTAAGAATCAATGCAGAGGTACAGGTGTACGACCACAGGTCTATAAGAGTAAGAAAACCTTTAAAGAGAAGGGGGGAGTGGGAGAAGGAGAAATAGGAGGAAAACAAACGGCGATCATTTATTTCCATTATCACAATTAAAAACACCATTCAGGTTGGGACTGGTTTTTAATTTACAAAAGAAAGTCGAGAGAGGAAGACTAATGCTGTGAACCGAGTGCAGTAATCACATCGGTGAGACAAACCGCATTACCATCCCACCTCCCAGCACCACACTGCAATGGAGCTTCAAGGCAGGAAACAAAACCAGAGAGTATGACATTTCATGCATAAATAAACTCATATATCTGCTTTTCATGTTCATGTGCATTAAGAAGTAAATTAGAAATCCCAAATGTAAATTTACTAATTAAATAACAACCCACCATTACTAATAAAAATGTCACATTTCCTGTCGAAGAAATAAGCACTGAAGAAAATGGAAATAGCCTTGACACTTGGATTAAAACACTATTGATGTCATTAAAATGCTAAGTGGGTCCAACCAATTGGCATAACCACATTTCACTGGAGGAATGTCAAAGGAGCACACCAGCAGTAGCAATTACTATTAGAATACTGTTAATTATGGCTGATGCATATTTAATATGTGGTAGAGTAAAACAAAGGTTATGTTAATATGGGTTTTTTAAGCATTCACACACTATAAAAATGTCTGTGTGTTGTAGCTGTTTGATGCATTCTCAAGAGAAAATCTTTGTTTTCAGATGAACAGATTTTTATTGTTAAACCACATCCCAACAAATGTTAAATGTGGATTATCTTTTTCACAATTTTTAACGAAAAACAGGCACGTGTGAAGTGGTTAATATGGTAACATTTTTAAAACCTCACCAGCAGCCACACTGTGGACCTCCTGTGCCCTCTTGTGGTTATTTTCTAAACTCTCTGAAGATCATTGCTCACCACCTTTTCAACAAAAGGCCAAACACTTGTTTTATTTCCAAATCCACAGTTTTCAGAAATCTTTTAGATTGTCCCACTGAGTGTCTTTGTGGGTTGTGGTGTTCACTGTTCACTTTCTTCATCCACAGAAGTTCTTTAAGGTCATGATGGACTGTTGTGGTGGTGACTGCCAGATAAACTGTTTGTCAGTACTCTGTGTTAGAATTCATTTTTTTTATGTCAAACTTAATACAGGCGTCTCTTAGATTTGATATTTTGCATTATTTGGGTCATTATGAACTAATCTATTTTAATCTAAATTACATGTTAATCCTCTTCTGCCCAATAAAGAAATGTCTGTGTTTTTTTCCTGTGCAAGTCTCCAACTCAAGAATAAGTGAAACATTCCCACAACTGAACAAGAATGTCACTCAGAGAGTACATACCTCCACCAAGGCCCAACAGTCCTTTTATATCTAAATTCACTACAATTTGCACACTGTCATAAATAACAGTCTTCAAAACATGTCTGATTTTTATTAATCAAAATCCATTAATTATTCTTTGAGAAAATACAGTCATAGGAGAAGAGTAGAGACATTATCTTGGTTATTCATGTAATTTACATTGTCTACTGTATTAAGGAGCGTACATTTAATAAAGCTGTAACCGTATAGTGTGGTGAAAATGTGAAAAAGAATGTGATTTTGATTACAGTCCATAAATCAATCCTTATATTATCCAGTATGTATATGTATACAGAAGGAAACAGAGGAAGATCAGGGTCAGGAAGGCGTTAAAGTTCAGAAGCTTCTTTGTTTAGAGAAAGTCTCCAGGCTCCAGTAAATCTATGTAGCACAGTCCTGCTTAGCTGCATCTCATAATATACACACACAGCAATTACACTGCTGTGACTTTTCTAGGGACAAACAATTTGAATATAAAGACAATTAACAATTTTATGTTTATTTGATTTCCCTCATGCTGTCATTATCTATCCCGAACAAAGCAGCAAGTCTGAACAAATGGCTACTACTTGTGCTAATTTAAACTCAAGGAAAGAGGAAATGCATTTGTTTCCAAACCATTATATAGTGAGCCATGCATTTGCTGGGTGCAAATGGACATCATTCATTACAGTTAACAATGACATCCAATTCAGCCCAGCTAATGAACTTCAATACAATCATGTTTGGTATTAAGGAGTGATTTGTTGAGTCTAAGTGTATCATTTTGGATGCTAATGTTGATGAATGTTTCTGACTGTGGAGGGATTGGTGCTCTCAGGGAGCAGAGACACCCTCGTCAGACACCCAACGACTAAAGTGATACCACACCACCACCTAGTGGCCTCTGCTTAGAAACACACTTTACTACAGGCTGGTGATTTGTAGTACATCCATGGAAAAACATCATTGAACTGTGAAAACACAAAAGGATTCAATCAAACTCACCGACACCCGAGTTGCCCCCGGTGATGACGACAACCTTGTCAGAGAAGTCGCGACCTTGCAGGATCTCGAGAGCAGAAGTGTTTCCATCGTATCGTTTTGGCTTCACCACCACATCCTCAACTGTGAATGCCTGCCGCGGATCAAAATACGTGGTCCGCTTGTTAATGTGACTGGAAATGACAAAGGGAATAGAATGTTACAATAGAACATAATTCCTTGATTGCACACATATGGAGCCAAAACAAACATTTTGCTTCCACTGTTAAGCACAGGGAGGATCGATTATCAATCCACTTACTCAACATAAAGGATCTGTCCTTTTTCATCAGTTTCTTGCTCCCAGCCATACGGTAAATCTGAGGGAAAAGACAGGCATCATTTTTCTTTGACAGCCAGAATGCATTGGACTGGAATTATTCTCTGCCACCGCAAACAGTCATATTTAAAGAAAAACAAATGTATGGAGTACTTTCGCGAACAACTTTACATGAAGCAAGAAACAAGGCATTTAACAAGACAGCAGCCCAAACCCCTGGTGTTAAAGTTAAGGTTACGGCACCAGTTGACAGGAAAACAACCCAAAAACGTATTCACATTCATGGTCAACTTAGATTTAACCATTTAACATAGCCTGCAAGTCTTTGGACTGAGCGAGGAAGCCAGAATACACAGTGAAAACCCACGCAAACATGGGCACAACTTGCCACACAGACAGTACAAGCACAAACCCAGAACTTTCCTTCTGTGAGGCAACAGCACTAACAATTTCACTGAGATATTATAAAAAACTATATAAGCATAATCCCATTTTATAAGAATAATATATAATTCAAGAAAACACTGATTTATATGTGCTGGTTTTAATAACTGGGATTGAATGATCGCACAGCAACTGGTACATCAACTTGATACATTTATAAGGAGTCTATTTTAATCCTCTCTTTGTTAAGAAAAAGAAACATTCTGGCATATGCTACAATAACCCTGGAAGAATTAATTTCTAAAAAGACAAGTGAATGAATCAAACCTCCAGCACAACGCTTTTTCTTTCCAGTCTTGGGGTGTTCCCACTGTGTCTTCATCTCATCATGGCTGTTGGTACACAGAGACAGAGGAAGATATAATTTCATGTGGCCTTGGTACATTACTTTAAGATCATTCTGTGTCAAATCATCACACTTTTGGTACAGTGTAACACACAATTCTAGTTCCATAGGTTTCTCATGTCACCAAATCAATATGCCGAATTTCATTGATATCTGTGTGATGGTTCGGCCCAGAAGCTTCATCATTTGACACAGAACGCCCCTTTACACAACTCATCAGTCTGACAGGGACAGGGTATATTGGTCGACATCAGCATTATGTTAATGTGCCGAGTTGTCGAAAAGGCTACTTTTCATCTGCAGTCTCTTGGTTGGTTGATGTTGAGCATGACTAAGAAAACAACAAGCAAGAAATTGGGTGGAGAAAAACTACAGAGTGAAATTAAATGAAAATACTCAACAGCAGATTCAAGGACTCAAATACTAAGGACACATGAAACATACAGGAAAAAAATAATGGAGATAATGGACAACCAATAAAGACATCAGTTACATCTATTGATTCCAACTTGTATCATGTGAGAAAAGTTAGTTATATCTGTCTATTAATGATAGAAACATGATGGTACTCAACTGTTCCTGCTCACTCCAACCGGTTGAGGCAGATGGCCGCCCACATTGAGTCTGGTTCTTAAGGTTTCTTCCATTTAATGAGGGACTTTTTTCTCTCCAGTCACCAAAGTGCTGCTCATTGTGGAACTGTTGGGTTTTTCTATCATTTTTAAGGTCTAGAGATAATCTATAATATAACTTGGCACTATACAAATAAAATTAAATAGAATTGATGTAATAATAACTTTAATAATAACTTTATTTACATAGCACTTATCTAAATCAGGGTACTGAGTGCTTCACAAAAATCCATGGCATAAAATGAATGAACTACAATAAAAGGAATTCAATTGAGTTCAATTTTAATCATATAGAGACGTATAGAGAAAACCAACAGTTCCCACGATGAACAACTGTAGTTACTGATGAGTTTTCTATTTAAAGAGTATCTCAGTCATATAGCTACAAGACTGCACAGATCCTGTGCATAACCTCAACTACTTAATAAGACATATTAAATACATGTCACTGAGCCCACATGAGCCCTGCAGACATTTAGACCTGTCAGCTTACACGTGTCGCTTCCTCTAACCTGCTGGAGCTAGCAAGCTTTGTTAGCCACACACTGATAATAAGAATATAAGTTAAACTCGTGTACGGTAAAGCTAGTATTTATATGTAACATGCGGTATCACACTCACTTCGCATAGTAGACCCATCCATCTTTCGTGGACCTCTCTTCCCACCCGGGCGGTAACTCGTCCTCACTGTCTGTATCGTCCATACCTGCGTATTTCAGAGCCGCCATTGCTCCAGTTGTTTAATATGTAGATATAAACGATGTGGCTACAAACACGGACCGGTGAGTTCAATCTGCTCAGAGGAATGAAATCAACTGACAGAGCAGAGCATCACCAGCACTTCCGCAACAACACGGTGACGACTGCCGAATGGCCTTTTGGGAAATGTAGTTCACCTCGCCAAACACTTGCTGCGGCTCCATGCAAAGTGGGAGGGTCGGAATTTCCCTGATGTGATTTCCACTCTTCTGACCTTCAACCGTTCCAACGTCAAACCTAAACAGAAAACATGGCTGACCGTGACACTGTGTGTTTCTGTGTCTGCTCTTTACACACTTGTTCACTGAAGTCACTTCTGGTTCTCAATTAAAGTGATCCCATTCAACCCTGAGAGGCTAAAGTCATCTGCCGAAGTTGTGGAATAAAGCAAATAATGTGGATTGAAATTATCAGTCTTTGAATTTATGATTACTGCCTCATATAATAACATCACCACTAGATATTTATTGTCACTGTGCAAGCACAATGAAAGTTTGTGTGGAGCAAGCCTGTATATTCCAAATTAGTAACACATGCAAATTAAAGTTATTAGGTAAAAATAGTGAACGCTTAGGCTAAGAAAACACAGTACAATAAGGTTAACAAGCTAACAGTGCTATTAAAATAAGTAGTGTAAAATAAGTGTTATTGGAACTAAATGTTTGTTTTAAAGGTTCAGTGTGTAGAATGTTGTGATATCTAGTGGTGAAGTTGCATGTTGCAGCTGAATACCCCTCACCTCACCCTCCACTTCCAAACATGAGAGACAACCTGTGGAAACCTTCAGTTGTCATAAAAACTCAAAAAGTGTTTAGTTTGTCCAGTTTGGGCTACTGTAAAAAACATGGTGGCTTTTGCAGAGAGGACCCCCTCCTGATGTAAATATAAAGTATTTAAATATGAAGGGCCCATTTTAGGATAAAGAAAACAACAATTCATACAATTTAGATGAAACACACCAGTAAAAACATCACTAGGATTATTTTCTATTCAATTTCTGACAATAGATCCCTTTCACCTAAGTCTTACACACTGGGCCTTTTAAATCCTTTTCATTTATTCACACACATTATCCATGTTTGAGTCCCCATTTTACAATATAACCAGACTACTGTTGGGTGCCGACATTGTTGTGTGACCTGAGACAACTGTTTCACCATGAAGAGATTAGCTGGTCTTTACATTTTATATATTTGTGAGCTCCCCTTGAATCACTCCTTTTGCTCTTGCAGAGGGTTCAACCACAGCTTTGAGTGAGCAGGTGGAGGATAGTGCTTCTTCTGGCTACTGGTTTCCCTGGAAAAATGAAATATGAGACACTTGCATGCAGAGTTTGAAGAATCTGCTGACACTTGTTCAGCCTGGCAGCTGATTTAGTACAATCCACAGCATTGAAGTGACCTCCCACACACGTCAGGCTGAGCCTTTGGAGCCTAAGCATTGTAGTGACAATACGAGACACCAGACAGCCCCCAGCCATCTGAATCCCTATGAACAAATCTGGACATGTCACTGATATGGGTCTCCACTCCAATAACACTATACTCCTACGGTGCTTATATTTGCACACGAAACATCAGACAGGAGAAGATATCCATTCATGAACCTCTTGATAGCAACACAGTATGTGGACCATGTCTGAAAAAAGAAACAGTATTTACCACCAAGAAGGTTTTGTTTTGTGGTGTCTGAAATGCTATGTGTTGTCCTCCCTATAAAAGAAATGTATCTTTGGGTTTGAGGCCCACAGGTCCTGAGGAATTTGGAGAAATATGTTAGGGCATTAGGTCACAGTTTTAAGGGTTACACTAAATTTGAGCTAGTGCCTTCTCTCCCTGTCACTGGACAGATGAGAAGAGCTGGATGAAAACCAGATGTGTTTTCTTTAGATTAACGAAAACAACACTCCTATATAAACGAGGAGTTGAAGTTGCCCCTTAGAAGAGATTCACATTGGCCCCGAATCTCTCTCCAAGCAGACTGCAGTGCTTGTATTGATGCTGAACTTTTTTGTAATAAACTTTTTATACAATCAAGACTGTGTCATCTGAGATTCTTTCATCATCTTCACATCATCGCAACCCCAATATACGACAGTTTTTACCCCTGTCCATTAGTTTGGTGGTTGTTTTGCATGTTAATTGTTTGTTGGCAAGATTACGCAAAAACTTCAGAACGGATTACTGTGAAACTTTGTGGAAGGATGTGGTGGATTGTATGGATCTGGGAAGAACCCAATAACATTTGTTGTGTATACAGAGTCCTATCTCTAACATTGTGAGATAGGAGATTTTCTTTGACATTTTCACTGATTTCCGGTGGAATAATGCATTCATCGTGATTTTAAAAAAAGCTTTTTTAAGGGGTATCTGAGAGTTCGCAATTTGGTGCAGCTTGATTAAATTTAAGAGGACTATTGGGCATCAGTGCAGTTATCAAAACACAGGGTGTCCACCTGGGACGGCCTCTGACCCCGAATAGGACAGCCTGTTTTTGTTGTACTGCAAAAACCAAAGCTTGAACTTGAAGTTTAGTTTGCTTGATTGTCATCATTATTATCATTATTAATATTGTTGTTGTTTATTTGTTTTTTTACCAAAGTAAGATTTGCAGAGCACAGGGACACACACTGGACAGGAAATGTATGTTTGAGTTTTTCATTGAGGCAGCTGAGGAACTCTCTGTGGGAAGTTATGGAGGCTGGTGGGGCAGTATATAATAGAAATGTCAGGGGTCAACTAGTGAGAAAATTGGCCCCCTGGGCACAGATGGGTAGGGGCCACCCTCCCTCACATCCCATTTGATTAAAACGAGCTGTGTGACTCTCTAGCAGTTCTTATTAAGTGTCCCTGTCAGTCCACAGGCTCAGGGAGGAACAAACCAGGCAGGGCATAATGAGATTACTCTCCTCTGTGATCGCTGGGACCGTGCATGTATTAACGGAGGTGAAGTGAGGGCTACTGCGCATGCTCGGACGCAGCAGAAGGGGGAGGGGCCAGGGGAGGGGCCGACCAACTGTAGGCAAGTGTGTGTGTGTGTGTGT